GCCGCTCGCCCCTTCGCGCTGGCAGCCTGCGGAAGATCTCCGGAATGTTTGTTTTGATTCCAAACCAGAAGAACTTCTTTTTGGGTTGAAATTTTGAAATCGATGACAAGCTGTCAAATTACAATTTCCTCCGTCTTTCCCGTGCCTCCCTCGGTGCTGAGCTGGACTAACCCCAGCTTTGGGGTAGGGACAACGGGATTTGGACGTTGCCAGTGGCAGTCGGGGACAGTTTGCACGTTGGCTTCTGGCCAGGGGTCTGGAGGGGCAGCCTTTCCAGCCAGGCCATGGGGAAACAGTGAAAATATTCATTTTATTGGTGTTTCTCCCCAATCCCATCACGGCTTTTCTGCAGCAAATTCTCTTGGTCAGGATCAGGTGGTTTCCCACGTGTTTATTTGCACTTTGGGGTGATGCTGCCAGGAAGCAGCCCTGGCATCGGTGATTCCTGCCGGGATGCTCTTTGCAGGCGCTTCATCCTCTGTCCATCCCAACCATGGTGCCAGTGTCCGGCCATGCTGGAGAAGCATGGCTTCCCCGTTCCCTGGCCACAGCCATCTGGAAACCATGAGCATGGCGGGAGTTGACTGTGGGTTGTATTTTTCCCCCTAAATGGTTGACTAAGGGGCTGCCTGGGACAGCCCCGGGCAGGGGAGAGCTGGTGGGGAGGAAAAGAGAAAATGAGGCAGAATAGGAAAACGGGAGGAAGTCGTCTGGGGGTTTTTTGCCCTGCCGCCTTCCTGACCTCACGGGCTGGGGGTGGCTTGGCTATGGCACACCCCTCCCCCCGTGCCCACCCTGGGGCTCCCAAGGCCACGGGGATCTCTGGCCTTGGGGTTTGGGTTTTAAAGCCTTCAGGCACCCCGTGCACATCTCAGAGTCGGCTTCTGGGAGACACTGCGTTTCGGACACGTTGTCAGGCTGCGGGGCTGAATTTTGCAATTGTTCCAATTGCCACTGGACATGGAGGGAGCTGGGAGCCAGCCCTGGGGGATGGCCACCACCTTGGGGGACCTCCATCCCTGGGGACATCCACCCGCCCCAGGGGACCACCATCCTGAGGGACATCCACCCGCCCCCTGGGGGACATCCATCTGGCGTGGGGGACCTCCCTCCTGGGGGACACGGGCTAACGTCTGCCCCTTCTGTTGCAGACAGCGGCTTGCTGGAGAGCTACACGGAAGGGGAGATCCGGCAGCTGATCTCGGCACTGGTGGAGCGCTACAGCCAGGCCATGAACTCGGGTGGCCATGAGCTGCCCCTTTTCCCCCGGGGGGGCAGCCGGAGGAAGCGCGCCCGCGCTCGCCACAAACCCTGCGCCCTGAAGGAGCTGGAGGTGAGCGTCAGCGAGCTGGGCCTGGGCTACGAGTCAGACGAGACGGTGCTTTTCCGCTACTGCAGCGGC